ATCTAGCATAGATCTACCGTAGATCCACTGCTGCCTTAGCTCTCGCCGCCGCCATCGGGTCCACCATCGCCGCTAGACCATAGATCTAGAACAGATCTAGGAGGGGGAAGAAAAAAAAAGCATGTGTAGGAGGACATGGAGAAAAAAGGTTGAGGAGGAGAAAAAGAAAAAGAGAAGAAAAGGAGGAGAAAAAGAAAAAGAGAAGAGGAGGAGAAGAAGAAGATCGGGGATGGGGGAAGAACGAGTGGGAGAGGGAGAGAGATGAATCAGTTGGGGCGGATGAAAGAAGAAGAAAAGAGATTTAATGGGAGGGGTAGTTTAGGAAAAAATGTTATAAAAAGTAGAATGGGAACATCATTTCCAGACGGAAAAAAACGTACAATGGGAACATCATTTCCGGACGGAGGAAGTAATAAGTAGAAAAAAATAAATTGAAGAGAATTGGATCTAACTCACCTCTCCCTTACTAGTCCCTCCCTCTTCTCCTCTAACAACAATAACAATCCAAATGAATCCCACAAAAGTACGATCTGAGGAGGGTGTGTGTATGCAGATCTTACTCATACTCGAAAGTAGAGAAGATGTTTTTAAAGAAACTCCCGAATCAACGTTGAAATTTGCATTGAATGATTAACTGCTATTTCATTAATTAAAGAAACGTAGACAATTTAGAGATTCGTTTTATTTTATTCCATCACACCTCAAAACCAAAAAACAATGATTTTTTTGCTCCACCAGAGATGATAGAAATAAGGCTCAATTTCGTTGACCCTGGTCTCAAATTCTCAATAGACAGTGATGGTGTAAATTATCTAATCGGGTAAACTATTCTAGACCGGGTCTAGGATTGTTTACTTGATTCGGAAAGTAAAAAGGTAAAACACGCATATGACTGGGAGGATTGTAGGTGGAAATATCTGTAGCCCGATTGATATAAATATAGGAGAATGCACGGGTGCTTTTACAAGGGAGTTTTGAGAGAATGAATTCGGATCCCTACTTCTGAGGATTACAGCAGTATTTATACTAAGTTTGAGGGGAACAGGACGTCGTGCACCCACGTTGAGACACGTTCTCAGATGGTGAGAGATGTTGAGCTTCGTCCTTTAGCAGACTTGTCCTCTTGCGAAGAAGATTACTCCTTTGTCAGGAAGCGCTTTGGATGGAATGTTTGAGCATCTCTAGGATCTTATACAGATCACGGTCGATATGACCCAATCTCCTTTGGATTTTTTTCTGTCGATACTTTCCAACTCCAAAAGTTATACCGGGTTGATTTCGCGGAATGAGTTTTCCGAAATTGGGGAATGAAATAGGCTATAAGGTAGTTTGCCCGGTATACCATCCGAAGTACACTGGTCAAAGTTTTGGTCAGCCAAGTGCCCTCTCAGTGACGATTGAGGTCTCTTCTTCAAGGATAATCAATCCGACCGGTCAAACATTTGGACATTTCCTTTGACCGGTTTTGGGTGGATTACACCCATCAGACAGTATGGTGTCACTACCTTTTTGGAACAGCTACAATATTTCATCTAAAAATATTAATAATTTATGCCACTGTTTTTGCCTGCCTCTCCCAAGGAAGGGAGGGATGTCCTCGGGTTGTTAATTAAGGTTTTCTTTATATATATATATATATATATATATATATATATATATATATATATATATATAAGGAAGTGTTAATTAAGGTATTGAATCTAGTAAATATATACAAGCACATATATAGAAGTCGGTGAGAGCCATTCATAAATTTTGGATGAGCATTTCGAGTAATAATAACACAGACACATAAACATGCGAGAGCATATTTTAGCAGCAACATGGTCTCACATAAATTTTGATTAAAAAAACAACAAATTCGTGGGGCTAAATGCACTCCTCATCTCTTAATCAAATTTAATTTTTAACTGTAAAACATTTAAGAAAATTATTAAAATTTATTCAGAGAAAAGTGAATCTGAATAATTTATTCCTTATACTCTAGTTATTTGTTTAGTTTGATTTTTTGAAGTTACTATCAAATTGTATTGCATATTAATAAAAAGACAATGTAATCTCACACCAGTTCAATCGGTGTAATTTCAAGAGGTGTGAGATCGTGACATCAGTTCAATTGGATGCATACGGTGCTCTAATCATAAATTAACGGATTTTGCTCTTTCTAACCCCCTAAATCCTCCAAACAATTTCACCCTCACCCCACACTGGTCGGTGATTTTGCGTGTGCAAATCGATATGCTGGGGCAGGGTGAAATTGATGTATTGTTAAGAAATCATGAACCATTAATTTTACGATCGAAGCACTGTAGATGCCTTCATTGAACTCGTGTCACGGTTTCACACCAGTTGAATTGTTATGAGATTTGTTTCTGATTAATAAAATGAGATAAAAATTTAAAAGTTTTCCACAAGATAAATGTAATAAATTCATTTTTATACTAATATAAATTATAATTTTTATTTAATTCAAGTCCAAAGTATTTCATTTAATTTTACTTGAAAAAGTTAAACTAAACGAATACATTAAAACAACGGTTATATAAACCATGCATTCTTATTATTGAAACAAATACTACCTCAATTTCTAAATATTTATTCTTTTTTATATAATTTTTAATGTTAAAATTGATAAATTTTAATCATTAATTAATTAAAATTGATAATAGATATTGATATAAAAATATTTTTTTATTAAATTTATTCTATAAAATAATTTTAAAATATTATTTTATATTTTATACTTTTTTTTTAATTATAGATGATACGTTGAATTTGAAGAAAAAAAATCAAATCAAACAAATTCTCAAAAAAAAAATGATTGAGGGGCACAAGAACAAGAACAAGAAGGTGGCCGGGGAAATGGACCCCTCCCCTACACCTTGTTGATCACACAACTTTCGAGTGAGTTGCGGACAGGATCTGTCGCACTCTCTCCTTCACATGTGCAAGCTTGGCAATCGCCATCTCCCCATCAATTCCTGCTGTCTCTCTTCCATATCCAGGTCAGCACCAGACCCCCATATAATCTGCAAGTGTGACACCCTCACCCACCTTCCAAGAAAAGGATTTCTTTTCTTTCATGCGGATACCAACTGCTTCCCCTTCTTTTTCTTCTCCCCGTTGATCATTTCAGTATTCCCACAGGAGAAATCCAGATGATGGATCCCTTTACCCTTCTTGATTATGCACTGCTGAAGCTCACTCCTACTAGGACAAGGTACTCACTCCCTGCCCTTTTTTCTGATCTACTCCTTTTTATGTACATATTTCTTGAACAATTCACCAATTGAACTGGCAAGATTTTGACTCTTTTTTGTTGGGGATTTGGAAAAAGATGCGATCTTGTGGTGGTTTCTGGGGGGAAAAGTGAGAAGTTGGCCTCTGGGTTGGTGGAACCTTTCATTGCTCACTTGAAGTTTGCTAAAGATCAGATTCCAAAGGGTGGGTATTCAATAACTCTGCGCCCGCCCTCCCCTGCTTCCTTCTGGTTCACCAAAGCCACATTCCAAAGGTATTTCTCACAAATCTTGAGCTTTTAGTTGTTTGTTTATGATGGTCATTTCAATGGGAGCATAGGCACTCTAAACCCTACCGCCTGAATTTGGCACAGAATCTAGAATTAGGATATGATGGCAACCAGATCGATCTGTGATGATTTGCAATTTGGAGTAATTGAAGTTTGGTTTTTTTTTGCATGGTTGTGATTGTAATCCTTGTTAATGAATTTTTTGAATGAATTCTGGTGGCAGGTTTGTACGTTTTTTAAGCACACCCGAAATTCTTGAGAGGTTTATGCAATTAGAGCAAGAGATTGTACAGATTGAGAGTTCCATTGATTCAAAGAGCTTCTCAAAGTCAAGTTCAGAGGAAGGTATGTTTCCTCAATTCTAATGGGTTACCTTTTTTAGTAAACACTCATTTTTTTCTTTAGTTAGTTTTATTGTTCATAGTAGCATTGCTTCTATATCTTTTGCAGCGAGTCCAGCAACCGATAGTGCTTCCTCTAAGGAAAACTCCAAGTAAGTGATCTCACTTAAATGATCATATAGACTTTGGTGCGAATGAAATCCTTAAGGATTGGGAATCGAAAATCGCTAGGGAACAGAGCGTAAAATACATTGGAAGTTGGGGAGGAAAGAACAATGGGGGGTATATAAGGCATTGGTTCAAACTATAAATTAGTTTTTTTTGTTTTTGTTTGAAGAAAATTATAAATTAGTTTTGATTTCTTTAAAAAGTCATTTTGTTTGTTTACATTGTATAAAGACTAAGAAGTGTAAACATTTGTTAAATTCTTAAGACCATTGGTCATATTTCATTTCCAATGTAAGACCAAACACATGAAGATGAATTTCCTTGGCATTGTTTCCTTTCCCTTGCATTTTCTGCAGACCCAAACATAACCTAAAGTTACTGTGACATTAAAGGTATCGACTCCAATGTGTCTTGGACACTCGTAAAGCATTGCTCAGGAAAGAGCAAGCAATGGCTTATGCTCGTGCCACAGTAGCTGGTTTTGAAGTGGAACAGATGGATGACCTCATTTGCTTCGCTAATGCTTTTGGTGCCTCTCGTTTAAGGTAAAAAAACTTCCATTATGTGTTTCAAAAAGAGGTATCTGTACACAAAAACACAGATAAAATTTCTAAGCCTTTGTGTAATGATAATAATTCTTTTAAAAAATATTTGTTCAGGGAGGCTTGTGTTGATTTCATAGAGCTTTACAAGCAAAAGCACACGGATTGCCAATGGATGGATGAGGTCATAGCAATGAAGGCATGCTCCCAACCGGAGCTGTCATATTTGGGGAATTCAGGGATTGTATTAGCTTCTGAGAATGGTAATGAGTCACTTGTGCGAAGTAGCTCATTCGATACTTCATCAGACTCAAAGGAAAGCCAACATAAAGTTGATGGTGTTGGAGGTTCTTATTATTTATTCCCTTCTCATCTTCATTAATTCCATTTATGTTAGCTGAAATTAGACTAGTTTTACTGATTTTCTCGTTAGACGTCTCCAACTGGGCTCAGTATAGATGAATGATTTTTTTTTTGGGGGGTGGGGGGGGGTGGGGTGGGGTGAGGCTTTGGAGGGCATATTCTATATCTTGATGAATAAAGTGTCTCAAATACATATTAAGATAATGGACTTAGCCCTCCAAAAACTCTGAGAACCTCCATCCGAACTTACCCTAAGAAAAAGAAAATTTGAAAAACGTTATGAAGGGAAAAAGGGAAAACCAGAAGAATGAAGGCATTTTTTCCTCTTTTTTTTTTCTCGCTAAATGACTGGATTTTGCAATAACAATAAAAAACAGCTTGCAGAAATTGTATTCTCTTCTAATATCTAAAAACTACTCGCAGATAATAACACACCATCAACAAAAGTTCAGCTGCAGATGCCATGGCCAAATCAAATCCCACCATATATGTACAACTTTCATAGCCCCACTGTTCATCCAATGCATTTCCCTGCCGGTATGCATCCTGTACCGCCGTACTATCTAGGTCATTTGCACTGTCCTCAAACTGTTGATGGCAATGGTAGTAAAAAGCACCACAAGTCTTGGAGGAAAAAGGAAAAAGTTTCTAATTCACATGCCGCGGAGAAGAGTTCAGATGATGATGAAAAAATTACACCTAGCTACTCTGATTCTGAAACCAGTTCGGATGAATCTGTGAAGCAACGGGGACGTGGTAGAAAGCACAAGAAGAAATCCTCAAAGACTGTCGTCATCCGCAACATAAACTATATAACCTCTAAGAACAACAGATCAGATGAGTCTTCTTCAATTGATGCCACATCATCAGTCGACGAGAGTTCTATCAAGCAACAGGTGGATGATGCAATATCACTACTGGAACAAGGGCACAACAACATTAAGACTCATAAACACAGCAAAAGAGGACATGATGGTGGTGTTGAAAACTGGGATGCTTTCCAGAACATTCTAATGAGTCGGGAAGATGAGGAGAGGCAAAGTGGTGTGTCCTTTAATGGAGAAGAAGAAGACCCTATATTAAAAAATCCCAACGGATTTGAATTAAAGAAAACTAACAGCGAACGTCATTTGCCTTCTTCTGACGGCTCTGTGGTTGTGACTGAAAGATATGGAGAGGAAGGGCATGGTGGGCATATTGCCAACAAGGTGGATTTTTCAAATGGTGAGGAGATTCATCGGAGTTTGAAAAGTGGCGATGATTGGTTTGTTATGAAGAATAATAATTCTGGGAATTCAGAAAGAGATGGTGCTAAAGATGCGATTTTTGAAAACGGCGACAGCTTGGGGTGTGATAGAGAAGCTAAAAATAGAACAGTCACCGCAGCCATTGATGATTCTTTCATAATACAGCAATCACATTCAGTATCAGAAGAGCATTGGAAAACAGACGTTAATATGGAGGCAGACTTATTTACTGATCAAGCCGTTTCTTCACAACCCAAACCATCTTCTAGCATTGAACCTAATGATCTGTGTTTAGTCGTTTCAAGGGATCGCAGTTCGGGTCCCGCTGAGGTGTCTCGAATGCCGGAATTGGGTTATGAGATTGAAGCTTCTTTTGTGGGACGGCATAATAAAACAGATTCAAACGTTGCTCAAGCTGAACAAAGTTCCCCTGTCAACGATACCAAGAAAAGCATCAAGAAGGATCATTCAAGTCCTTCAACAAAAAACCCCTCAAAGGATAATACGAAGTCTAAGCTCTCGCCAGGGTACCTCTCAAGGAATAATAAGCTGGACTCTTTATCCAAAAGCAAGAAAGCCTCCCCTACAAATAAGCTGGCTGTCCAAAAGAGCAAACTAGAAAGGGTAAAACTTCTAAGACATCTTGCTATAGAGTTTTATTTATATTTCTAACCAAATCTGCATCTAGTGTTTGGAAAGAAATTATCCAAGTTGCCTCAAGTATTTTATATTTAAAAATGTTAATTTTTCCATTTTTATAGTTTTTTATAGAAATGATAATGTAATATTTTAGTTTAAAATTTACGGAGTATTAAACAAAAACAAAGGTGTAATAAAATTATTAGTTTTAAAAATCTTTCAACTAACACTAAATTTAGTACTACCTTCATCCTATATTTTTCTTTCTCATTTCAACGGATTTCAATGCAACACTTACTTTGACCATTAACATCTACATGTAAACATACATAGTAAAAGTATGACGTTTTAAAACTATGTTTTTATAAAGGATTTTGAAACTATGTTTTGAATTTAATCTATTGATATAAAGTTTATATTATTTACTCAATGTAATTTTTCCGCATTCTGTAGTGAAAGTTTTTAAAGTTTGACCAAGAAAAGTCAAACAAGAATAAAGATATAGACGGATGGCGTATTTTTTTTAACTTTAAACTATGTTCTTATTGCTATTTGTAATTCTAACTATAAGCACAACTTTGTGATTTTTCCTGAAAACACGTCTTTTCATACTCCTAGAAGCTACCCATTTCAAACTCATTGCTCTCCAAAAAAAACCCTATTGCATTGTCTTGTTTACTTTGTCCTGTAACATTTCCTGCCATTTACACAGGAGGAGGAAGCACGCAAAAAGATGGAAGAATTAGTGATCGAAAGACAGAAAAGAATTGCTGAAAGGACTTCTGCTAGTGCTCTTCGCACTCCGGGGCCCAAAAAAGTCACAGCTGGTAGTAAAACAACTTCTTCTAAGCCCGAAAAGAATAGGCTTCTTCAACCTAGTAACTCATTCAAAGATCAGAAAGTTCATGTTCGGGTCAGCCGTTGAAGAGAACATGAACCCACATCAAAGAACCCACAACAATGTCGGAAGAGTGTAAAGATTGAAACTTTTAGAGTTTTGGTTGAGCATATGGTCACAGAACATGATCCTACAAATCCCAGAGATAGTAAGTCCCCTTCGATTCTTTCTTCGGTTAAGCTCAGGTTTGCTGCACTGCCCCATATAGAAATACCCTTTATTCATTCCATTGTAAAGTTGTGAATTTATTTTGTATGTTTATAGTGTGTGAAACATTTTGTATATGTATAAGACTTGAAAGAATGTGTATTCTTTTTTTTCATAGCTTATGTTTTCTTCCTGTGAGTTCGTGTTTGCTTTTCATTATTCTATTGAACCATGTGTGCTGATGGCATGTTGTATTCTTAATATAAGTATTAGCCTTGAGTTGTTTCAGAAGCTCTTGTAAATAAATGTTTGGTGATTAGAGTTTCCTAAAAAAAAGAAAGTTAAAGTGTTACACTTTAGACTTGAGTAGTACATGGGAATCAAGTAAATGAGTCACCTAGGTTGCTCAAGTCGGATTTGGATTCGGCAAGAAATTATCGTTAGTCGAAGAAAATAGTACATCATACTACTCTGTACTTTTATATACGATGTAGTAATAAAGTAGAGCAACAAAGAAAATAGTACTTATGATAAATTGGTTTTTTGGACTTTGGATTATTTATTTCTTGCTCCCCCCTGCCCCCACGTCGATTGGATACAGCGAAGGAAGGGCATGGGGATAAAGGGTAGGAACCATTAAATTTAGGTGTTAAAAAATAAAAAAAATATTCAAAATTCTCACTATCTAAACACAACACTCAATTCATATTTTTCACATACTTCCCACTCATTTCTTTGAGTTATATTGCTATTTTTGTTAAAGAGATTTTATATATTTGAATGTCATGGATCCATTCCGACCGTCCGTGTCTTCCCCCGAGTGTCTATTTTCTTCATTTGCGGCTTGCTCTCAAGGGTCGATTTCTTTCCAAATGCAACAATTTCATGAATGGCAACAAATGTACTGGCAACAATTCCAGAACCAATACCAGCTGACCGTCCGACCACCGTCACGCCGCCACAACACAAACGGCTCCGTCACATGATTTCCCTTTAGATATCGATGCCGATAACGATGAGGTTGTGCCCGAAACACAAACTTCAAAAAAATCAAAAGGGAAGGGAAAACATGAAGGGGGAACAAGCACAACTCGGAGTGCTCCGAAAAGTTGGACCCTTACCGAAGATGATGTGTTAGCCAGAGCTTGTGTTAACGTTTTCACCGATCCGATAAGATGTGTGTTTATAATTTCACCATTGCGATAATTTTTTTATATAGTTATTTTTTCTTAAGTTTTTTAATTACTCGTGTACATGGAATGCTCAGACGAGCGATGGCTTTTGGGCTAAAGTGACCGACAAATTCCTTGAGTTGATGCACGCATCAGAATCGTACCGCCTTGTTCACTCTGTAGCTTCCAAGTACCGCGATATGAACAAAAAAATTCAAAAATCTAGCAGTATCTACAACAACATTTACATGAATCGTGCGAGCGGTTCGAGTGATCAAGACGTGTTGCAGCAAGCGCTTGAAAAATGTAGAGCGTAATTTTCTTCTTCATTCCCGCATCTTAGGGCATGGGACATCTTCCACGAATGTTCTAAGTGGGCGCCGATTCCAAACGAGGTATCCAGACGAAGCGAATAAAAACGTCGGAATCGGGCAACTATGGTCCAGGCATGTCCGATGTGCGTTGGATGTCGAGTATGAGTGACAATAATGACGACATACCAACAGCACTGGAGTCAGAACGACTCATCGGAAGGAATCGAGCGAAGAAAAGAGAAGGGTCCTCGCGCATGGCGCCTCAACCCTTGCTTAAAGGGTTCGAGCACCTCAGCACTTCTTTGTCCGCATTTGCGAACATGCAGGCGGAGAGTCTTCGGTTAAAGAAAAAGCGAGAGCGGAGAAGCTTGAGCAAAGATGCAAAGAAAAAGAGGTGCAACTTGCCCTAGAAAACCAATGCCTTGAGCAAGAGGATTTCAAAATCATGACCACCGACGTCGATAATCTTCCTCTAAGGAAACGTGCGGTGGTTTTGATGATGAAAGATAAGATAACCCCGAGGTGGCTTAGAGGTGCGGCGGGTGACGGCTTGAGCGGGGATGCTTAGTTTTTTTTACTATAATGTGTATTTTTAATATGTATTCTTATTTTCTTTTAAAAATGTATTGTTTTATGCACTATTATTATTATATTTCTTAGTTGCACAATTATTGTAATTCTTATTTAAATTTTATATTTTCATAAAATGTTCAATTTTATATTTCTTAAAATGTTCAATTATTTTATAATTATATTTTTTTAGTTTATTCATTTGAATTAAAATAAGTATTAAAAAAATATTATTAAAAATTAAAGGGGACCCCATGGCCTAATGAAATAATACCGTGAAAAACATAATTAGGAAAAATGACATTGAATCTTAACCTTGAAGGATATTATTACAAAACAAAATGTGTCACATTAGATTAAAATAGTGTGTGGTTTGTCTTTAATTAAAACCTGCAAAAAACATAGTAATAAAAAAACAACATTGTTCTTCATAATACATGAATTTATTACATTACCAATTCCCCGCTTCTTTTTCTCTCTTTTGAAGACGAGGAAGAGAAGAGGGATCCATCCACCCATCCATGTCTGCTCTCATCAAGAACCAAACCTTTAAAAAAAAGAGCGAAAAACGAGACGTTGCTGGATCGAATATCATACGTAATGGAAGAATCTTCATTTCATTTGATTTTTTCAGTAATTTTACCCTCCCATTTGATCAACATTCTCCATTATCATTGCCATGACATCAACAATCCGTCCAAAATGTTCTTAACTTTTGCTTCCATCATCGTATTCTCATCAATCATCCGTTTCTTGAATCGCCGTCGCCAATGTTTGAGCTCCATGAATCCAGGAGAGATGATCCGCAGCAAGAAGTCAGGCCTTTGTATCGTCCCGCAAATCCGTGTTTGGCTTTGCAACCTTTTCTTGGGTTTGGAGATGGCCATTGGGGCATGCTTTGGTGTTTCCCCTTTCTCTTTTCGCAGAAGAAAATTTTCTGCATTAATGGAGGTACATCTTCTCTTTCTTTATTTGTGTGTTTTTGTTCAGCTCTTGATCCAAGATTTGCCTTCAAACAATGCATTGTTTTTTGTATAATACTGTCTCCTTTGGGCCAAGCTAAGTTACACCAAGACGGGGACGGGGTCAGAAGCATGAAACGTCAATTTTTTTTCATAATTTATAAAGGATTTGGGTGTGGAGACGCCTCCAAGTACCAACCAGAACAGGACGTTTCAGAGACGGGAAGCGGCACCTAGGAGCCAAGACATGACGGATTTGTTTTAGGACACCTTCTAATGCGTTTTATACTAGGAACAAACAATAATGGTTTGATTCATTTCAACAGGAAAAGGAAATGTTTGGGGAGGTGGAAAACAAGAAAAGGGATCCTCAAGCAAAGTGTAAAAATGGAGAATTCAAGGTGATGACAGAGCTGAGGAACAAGACACTCGCCTTACGGGACCTACTTGACCTGTCTCCCTGCGTGGGCTCCACATCCGTACACGATCTGCTGGTACTGACATTGGAGGATCTGGGCGCACTCTATCCTTGTGCCCAACAATTCCAAGTGTCTGACACTGAAAAGGCAACCTTGGATCAGGTTTTCTCATCTTATGAAACAAGATTGTTAGGTGTAGGTGGTGTTCCCTATTAGGTCCAAGATTTTTAGACTTTTGGGTTTAGGTCCGGTCCGATCTAAACCTGATATCATTTCAGTCTGGACCGAATATATGTACTAATATTATTATATTTTTGTTTTGTAATGCTTGATTACATTGTACTTGGTTCCTTGCTTGGTAAGGAGTAAGCATGTTATTGCTGGTCTGCTGTTTTTTTACCTGGGCAAACATTTATTTCAATCACTTTAGCTTGTTATTTTGTAATTCCACATGTTAGTATATTATATTAAGTACCTCTATCAGTAGTTCTGTGTTTTTTTTAAGAAAAGTACATTTAAGTTCTAAATCCACACCCTATCCTACATTTTTGGAGTTAATTTATACTCCCTCCGTCCCGGAGTATTCATCCAGTTTTGACTTTTGGAACTGTTCATCTAAGCACTTTGACTCTTCAAATTCTCTCAATGTGTAAGCCTAAATATAGTCATGTGTGATCTTGTTTGATTTGTCGTAACATATAGATTATTAATATATAATTTCTATCATTTTTTAATATACAAATTACAAGATAAAATGGATTTAAAAAGTGTATTGGATGGTGTGTAAAAATGAAAGTGGACAAATACTATGGGACGGAGGTAGTACAATGCATCTCCAATTCGGTCTTATCGGTCCTACTTGGTTTGGTCTATATGATTTCGGTCCAGTTCGTTGTCTATTTGAATTTTGGTCCGGTTCTGGACCGATGAACACCCCTAGTTAGATGTCATAAACAAATCAAAATGTGCATTTTTCTAAACGGCGTGAATGAATCGCAGATACTAAATTCCTTCTGCAATGCTATGAAATCAATTGGTGAGATGTGGACAGGAAATGACGAGTGGATGATCAAATCCAACAACGGTTCGTTCAACCTTGAAATTAAAAACTCGGAACATCACGGTATGGCGTGTTTAACTCTTTCAGAATAAGTACTAAGCTTAACCCCAATCCTTAAAACCTCTCAAACATCTCGGCAAACTTGTTGCAGCAATCTTGATGCTTGAAGACATGATTAAGCTAGCAAGTGAGAGGGTGTTTGATGGAGAAGAAGAAGAGGAGGAGATGGTGGACAGTCCAAATGCATTTAGCACGCTTTTGTCGGAACCTTGTTCTCCGGTTACCCCTACTTCTGTCCTTCCTGAGATGTTCAATGTTCCAAGTTACAGAAGAATGGGGTGTTGTTCGACACCGATTCACACGCCACTGCGAGTCAAAACAGCTCGAACGCTTAGCCCTGTTGGTGCGAGACACCTCTCGTGCCACATGCTTCCTCGTTTGTCGGATCAAGATTCCAAGGTGACGACCAATACAGGCAATGCATTGAAGAACGAACATGACCATGATGATGATGATGACACAAATTGGATTGATGGGTCGATTATTACATTGGTGCCAACACGTATCGCTGTGGATGTGATTTTACGCACACGAAAAGAAGAAACGCCGTTTGGTTTGTCATTAGGTGGGTTGGAATTAAAGACATCAAACCCAATATCTTCATCCGCAAACTCTTTGTCGAATCTTAAACTACCAAAATCACCTCCTCCAATTACACACGAATGTGTTGAGTCGGTTCCTCCCCCTCCCCAAACACCGGTAGCACCAAGAGTCGGTAGTGTGTCGCTTCCCCCCCCTCCTCCTCCTCCTCCACCCACACCATACTCACCCCAAGAATCAATAGAACCAAGTCATAATGGTGTTCTACCTCCTCCTCCTCCTCCGCCTCCAATAAACAATCTTGAGATTCCCTCTACCCCTTCGCCTTCTCTATTGGCAATGGAAAATACAGCAAACGCGCCCCCACCACCGCCCCCGCCACTTCCACTGAGACAAGGAAGCACGATTTCATGTTCACCACCAATAGAATCAAATAGCGTAGAATCAACAAGAAACCTTCTTCCCCCTCCCCCTCCCCCTCCCCCTCCACCACCACAAGCACTCGAGATATCATGTAGTTTAGCATCTGGTCCTCCTCCGCCCCCATTTCCAATGAGATCACAAGGTATGACACCACCACCACCACCTCCACATCCACCCATGGCTTCAAATGCTCCACAATTGCCCATAGGGAAAGGAGTTTCATGTCCACCACCTCCATCATTCGATGCAAAAAACATGCGCACCAAGAAAGGTTCTAAATTGAAGCGATCGTCACAAATGGGTAACCTTTACCGACTTCTCAAGGTAAAAGTGGAAGGATCAAACTTAGATGGTAAATCGGGGAGAAAGGGCAAACTAAATTCTACTTCAGGAGGTAAACAAGGAATGGCCGATGCACTAGCAGAGATGGCGAAAAGGTATATTTCGAAAAACAAATCTTTACAAACAGTTTCACTTGGTTACAAATCGCATCACTCTTCTCCATCTTTGGTTTCTTACATTTGATTTCCAAGGTCAACTTATTTCCAACAAATAGAAGAGGATGTGAAAAAGCATGCAAGTGAAATCAAGGAGACGATAACGGCAATCACAAATTTCCAAACATCAGACATGTCTGAACTCCTCAAGTTCCACAAATATGTTGAATCACATCTTGAAAAACTAACAGATGAATCTCAGGTCTACTCATATCGAAACCATTGTTCTTCACCCACACTCTCATTACCAAAACCATTCCTGATTTTGGTGTTTCAAATTCTTAATGATGCGTAGGTGCTAGCGAGATTCGAGGACTTTCCAACAAAGAAGCTGGAGGCATTGAGGATGGCAGCAACCCTCTATTCCAAGCTAGATGGTATAGCCTCTACCTTACAACAATGGCCAAAAGCATCACCTGTTGGACAACTTCTTGAGAAATCCGAGAGTTACATCAACAAGGTAAACCGAACCCATGAACAACATAATAAGCTTATGATGATATTAGTTTTGAAATTTCATATCCTTGTCCTTTCTTTATAAGGTTGTGACAGGTTTCTGGCATAAAAAACTTTTTTGCGTAAATTTACAATGTTATTGAACATTAGTGTCAAGAAACCAATTCAAAAACTTGAGCTGATGGTTGAAGGCCTTAAAAAAGTTTTAAACTCTAACAACTTGGCAATTAATTGATATTAAGATGATGATGATGATGAACTCTAAAGTGTTCTTTACTAGATCAAAGGGGATTTGGAGAAGATAGAACAGACTAAAGACGAAGAGGAAAAGAAATACGCAAGTCACAAAATCAGATTTGATTTTTCCGTCCTGGTACGCATCAAAGAGTATATGGTGGATGTGTCCTCAAACTGTATGGAGTTGGCACTCAAGGTTAGTTCATCAAAGCAATTTATCTCTTTGATCGTTATTATAAAACACATTTCGCTTTTATGGTAAAACATTTTAAGGACTTTTTTTGGGTAATGATACTCAGGAGTGGAGGGACTCAAATGCAATGGAGAAAGAAGCAGCGGGTGGAGGGAAAAAGGGGTCATCTGGGAAAATGCTCTGGAAGGCATTCCAATTTGCATACCGGATTTACACGTTTGCCGGGGGACTTGATGATCGCGCCGACAAGCTGACAAAAGAACTTGCTCATGAGATTGAGAAAGAACCCAATCCTTGAACACTTCGAAAAGAACAGAAACTAACAACAAATGACTTGTAGCAAATGTTGATGAGTCTTGAAGGTGATACTAGAGATTGTTATGGTACATATGCATACAGATTGTTGGAGAGAATCATCGGAGGTTTTCTGCAAAGATTCGTTGATTACAAGCAGTTCTTTAATACTCCGACATTCATAATTCATAGGCCAAACAAAATATGAAACGCTGTACAAGTTCTTTGGGTCCAATTAACAAACACCTGAGTCGCAATTAATCGTACCTGAAGGTCGAAATTTGAAGCTGTTAATAGGGGGGAGATTCACCCCTGACTAGGAACGAGGTAGAAAGATCTACTCTGTACAAAAAATTTACTTCATTCTTCCATAAGTTTCCGCAACGAATAACCTGGAAGCCAGTCTGAAATTACTGTTACTCAAAACTGGAGAACTTAATTATAATCGAACACCCGAATGATTGGAACCAAACTCATCAAACCCAAAACAGATTAAATTCGAAATCTATTAGAACCAAAAACCAATTAGACTCATAATGATCAAATTCAAAATAATTTTTTGACTCAAATTCAATCAATCCTAATAGCTCATCAGTTGATGTTTTTCTTAGAAAAGCATAATTAAATTATAGGGATAATTGTTTAATGTACAAATTCCGTATTTTATTATCACTTAAATTAAGATGATTGTCTGTATTACTTGATGTAGATAGTTAATGTAAATGCATTCTAACTCCTATTTCGAGAATAAAAACACAAACTCTTATTTTGGTATATTTTCAATGTTTTACTTCTGCTTTCGTTTTTTTCCCTAGTTTGGTCCATGGCCCTCGTCTAATTTTTGAGTCCTATGTTAATTCTTTTAAGGCTTCATGTATATTGGCTCCAAGTTAAAATTAAGATAGTTCCAATTAAAGTGTGCTTCAATGCATTTAATTAACTTTTTATTTAAAAAATTTATATTGTCTGTTTAAAAAATTCAAATTCAATAAGGGTTTGAAGAAATAAATTTAGAGACGTCACTACCGGGAAAAAAAAACTTGAAAACTAGCCATCAACCTTGTGATGCTATTCCCAAGGTTGACCAAAGATTGATAATGAACTCAAATTTAGCATATAAAAAACAAAAAGTTAATTTTAATCTAAGACTCCTTCATTAAACATCAACTTAAAGAGGAGGAATGAATTCAATAGATGACTCTTTTATCATATTTTTTGTTTCAAAACATAGACATCCTTTCTTTAAAGTTTTGAACTTTACTTTCGTTTTTTCTTTGGCTATTAAGAGATGTTGCAACATCTTTGTGGCAAACAAATAGAAAAAACGTGTGTGACGAATAATGAGGTAACTGATGTAAAATTAAATTATCTAAAATCTAGATCCCAAAATGATATAAGAGCAGGTAGTTCTAACTCATCAGATACCGAATGAATGGAAATATTGTTCTAAAGTTTTTCATATATCTCATGAGTTCCAATATTTTCATGAAGCCAAAATTAAAAAAAGAACTTCATGTAATTAGCTCTTCGATTGAGGTAGAAAATATGATTACTATCTTATAATAGCATGCTACACGATATGGGAATCAATTTTGAGAACTCTACCAATTCAAATCAAGGTTATAGGAATCAATTTTGAGAACTCACTCAGACATTTTATGAATCCTCTTTTTAAGAATTCATAACTAAATCTATTTTTTCAAAATTTTGGTCAAAATTTGACTAAAGTCAAATGAAAAAATCTTTTTTTGGATGAAGACAATATAATGCCTTATTGCAAGGTATTCATAGACATGGTTAAAATATACGAAGTACATGGTAATGAAAAACAATTTTTGAACTTTTTAATAGAAAACCTTCTTGATAATGAATGAGAATTTACGTCTCAATCATTGAATGATTATTGCATGTCCATCGAAATCGATAAAGAGCATCAAGTTGCTCATATATATACTCAAAATGATCTTATTGAATCTTTAATTACTCTGGTAATTGATTACACGCGAACATTATTTTTTTAGAGGTTGAATCCTTACATGCAAAGATTATTTTTTTCTAATCGGAATGGCGATGAATTTTGAATTAATAACCTCTAAATCAACAAGGGTCGCATACCAAATTTTAGAACCAATGCAGCCAAAAGGCTCCATGAATTAACAATCAAATATTCTATAATCCAAAGACATCAAGATTAATACTGAGGTCTATGAGTACTGGGTTTACAAATTGCTAAGAGCAACAAATATAGCATCAGTAGACAAAATTTGCAAAAAGAATATGATCAGCGGGTTCGAGTTTAAACATCGAATTCGATCATCAGAACTCCAAAAAGAAAGGAGGAGTAACAACGAACTGACAATAAGGCATCGTTGCACTAACAAAAACTTCATTGAAAGTAAAGCGATAGAAGTTTATGATGTCATTTCGATTTAGTCCATCGTTCGCCTAAAGCTTAAAAGAATTGTCAAAATTGACTCTTTTAGCTCCAATGCCAAGGGACATCAAAATAAGCCACTAGACAGTAGTTGGTTACTCTATGAATGGTGTTGTATCTGACCCTTCCCTAGACCGGTTTGACCTGCCCGGGTGGGCCCTATCGGACCGGTATGAAGGGGCCATAATCGATGAAAAAACAAAAACCTATCATACAAAAAATGCCAGCAGGAAAACAACCAAACAAAGAAGGCATTGTTAGGATTAACATGTTATATCACTTGTACATATACAAAAAAAAAACTCACCAAACCATTAACCAGATTGAGACTTACATGTTACCTTCGGTTTGTTATTGTGAATGTGATGCATAATTTCACCCGGGATTTCCTTCAGTTTTACCCCCATGCTTGGTCTTGAACATTCAACCTTCATCAGCCACATTAAATAAATATAAAATTCATTGGTAAAAGCCATCAATATCCATAAGTTACTATTACTACTAGTCTACGACTATTATTGTAGGCAGAAATAAACATGAACAGGAAAATTAACAACCAATTAACAAGATCAACAACAAAAACGACAAAGTAGAATACCACAAAAGTAGGGTGTGGGGAGAGTGTCTGAACAAATTAAGTACAAATTACTCGGACTAATCAAGGTCAATTAACTGTATTTTGTTGTAAATATAATTTTCTTATTTTTTCCTGCATCTTAGGGACATCAAATCCTGAAATCCTTTAAAAATACTTATGGATCACATGAAAGTTTTATTCATTCCGACAACCAACACTTAAAACTCATTACCTCCCTCTACTACTGGGACCTTATAAATTCAAAGCATGCAAAAAAAGAAAAATATACACGCATTCAACAACCACAATCAACTCACTCTCCCAGCATACCCACTCAACAAAAAGATGGTTTTGGGTTGACCATGCCAAATTGTCACAAGTCTTTGCTCAGCTTCTGGGTTTCTTTCGAAACCTCCTCCACTCACTCTTCAACAGAGATTTTCTTCAGGTTATGCAAGAGTATTCCTTCATGAAAAATGGAATCCCCTTTAACAAAAATGTTGCCAAGCTTTATGTGGTTTTATTTCATAGGGTTCAGTGAGGATCTCTAGGTCCGTTCAAAGTTTAGAGTCCCAGCGAGCAAAGTAAAATTTTGGGGGATTTTTCTAAGGTTAGGGTTTCAAGATAGGTTTCCACAGAAAACACTTTACGAACACCGCAATTTTGATTTTGGGTAAATTTAGTAGAGGACTAGAGGATAAAAGAAAATAGGTTTCTTGAACACAGAAGAAAGAAGTGTACCTAGCTCGGTTTTGTATTGGGCCATTTGGGTATGCACAAATAAATCTAATATTTTCCGATCAATGTACACCTTGCTTCCCTCTCGCAAGTCGACAGTTCTTGGCAGCTAAGCTTCATCGACTGGACAGCTAATCAGTGACTAGGCAGTGCACTGACAACCATGAGTGCAAGACACTACTTGCTAGTGTCTACATGTCATACAACACATCAGCAACACAGCCACTAGCCACTCAGCACCCCAATTGCAAGTCAATACTAGCCGGTGTCTACAGGTTATATACACATCAGCTTTAATAAAGTCTCACAAACACGTTATTTGACTCCAACCAAAAGAAACCCCCTCTTCTCAGCAAAAGCTGGATGTGAGATGAAATGCACCAAAGCTCATCAACAAGGTGCCAACTAAATGAATACAGTAGATTAAACCTTTCCCTTTTTGTTTGAGATGCTCTTTTATTCATGCTGGGTATATTCTCCTTCCTCCTCTAACTTCTGAATCTTTTTTCTTTGCCAGATATAACTGCTTCAGGCCTACAGTTTCATCCCTTTATCAGTCTCCTGACACATTTCAAATAACAAACGGTGAGAAAGAGCAAGAAAAGCATATTTAGGACCTCATAACAGTGAGTAAACAAATTTTTTAATACCTCAGAGCCAAGAGCTTCCATATCTTTGAGTTTTTTATGGACAGTAGAGATCTTTCTAAAGTATTCTTCCAACTTACCATCCAAAACATCAGTGTGCATGATGGTGGTCTTTGTATATGATTTTTACCAATATTAAAATGCCATTCTAAAAAAATACTCTGTAATATGTAGGAATAAAAAATGAGTCCATAGTGTCAAACGATGTGAGTCTTTGAGAGCAGAGGCTCAGATTATAAAGGGATGATGCAAAAATGGTGCAGTTTACACAAAAACTTGCTGTGGAAATCAAGTACAGGAAAATTTGCTATTCTATCAGTTTATTTTCAACAGAAAGATCATTTAAAAAGTAATGCCTCTCTAATTATAGTTCTTTAAAATGAAGGAAAAATTCTAAGGGTTACATTTTGAACAAGCATACATGAAACTTGAAACATACTTGAGCACCATTACATTTAAAATCTAAAGCAGCTTTTTGAAACCCATGCATGTTATTAAAGGAAGATACTGCATTAGCAACACCATTATACAATATACATGCATCAAAGCAGCCCCATCCTTCTCTTGTAGTCACTGACAGTCAAAGTCAATGTGTGTCTTCTCTCATTATCCTCAGGGACTCTACGGCCAACAGTTGCCTCTAGTCTCTGTTTTCGTGCCATAAATCCGGCTTGAGCTCCTTGTGGACCTCCAAACTTCTGAAGTGTAACCAATGAAATAGGTAAATCAAAATCATGTAGTGTGTTTGACTCTGTTCCTTGATCTACGGGAGCACTTGTATCGGTCAACTTTCCTGCACCTGCTGCTGCTTTCAATGCGGCAGTTGTGGCTGCCATGCCTACTTCACCTGTAGTGGCATTAGTTTCCGCAACCGATGCAGCAGCAGGAGCATCGGCTCTTGTCGTGGGCTCTTTCTCTTCGCCATTTTGCTTTCCTGCATAGTAATTCCTTGACCTAGTCCATCTTCTTGAGAAGGGGTCATATCCTTCTTCCCCAGCATTCAAAGTTGTATCCACATTTTTCAGTTCGGATGCGTTTTTGAAATTCTCAGCCCTGTTCTTTCTGTTCATCTCAGCCAGTTTATGAGCCTTATCATCTTTCTCCTGGGCTTGTCTTGTGGCATCCAGTTCCTTCAGCCTAGCTGTAATCCTCTTTACCTCAGCTTCATCATTCTTCATTTTTGCTACTTCCATCTCTCTTCTTAATCGCTCCTTCTCAGCAGCAACATTCATAGGCTTCCACGTGGCAGATTTTTTCATTTGCAACATTTGCTTCACAGTATCAGCTGAATATACAAATGAATTTGTCTTCTGTATGGCCTCCTTTTTTTCCAACACGTCCTGTTTGCTAGGCATTCGTCCACCACCTTTCTCAACCTCCCTGACCCACTGCTCAAACTCATCTCTAAGAGGAGGGGAGTCAGACACCATGGCCATCTGCCACCTAGCAGCAGAGCTTTCATTACCCCAAGTAACATTAAGATACTTGTATGTAGTTTTATTTTCTAGTTTGTACTGCCGATTTGGGTCGGCAGAATCAACATTGCGTACCATACAAAGCCTGTAAATAGGCCCAGACCTGGATCTCCCAATTCCAACTCTCACAAAGCAGCCAACAATTAACTCATCAAAGAAGGGTTCCATGAACCACTTCGCAAGTTTTGATCGCCGGATGGTAATTTCTTTTATATCCTCAAAAGTTGGCAGTTTTGAGTTGGGGGAAGTCTTGTCATCATCACTATCAGCCATTGCATCATCTCCAGACTCTCCTTCATCACTTTGTGACCCACTTTCAGCTCTGTTAGGGCTACTCCCTAAAGTGGCAGCTGTAAAAGTTCTCCTCTTAACAGGTGAGTAACCCCTGCTACCAGTACCTCTTCGAACTGCATCTCTTGTTTGCCAGTGAGTTTCAGGATCCTGCTGTCTTGCTCGTTTAGCTCTTATCTCATTCAATGCGCCATCCCTATCTGCTGCACGACCTAGAGCTCTAGTGGAAGAGCGGGTTCCACGAGACTGTGACGGAGGGGGGCTGGATTTTCTTCCTTGGCTGTTCTTCCCTCGTAATTTATCATGCATTTGTTTGTCAGATCTCTTTGATGCCCGATCTGTCAGTATCATTTCTCTTTCAAGCTCTGTCATTTGAGCAAGCTCGCGGCGGTCATTTTCATCCTTATAAAGGTCACTCCCAATGGAATCATCGTCACTATCACGCTCACGATCATAGCCATCATCATCACCTCCACGATCACTATGCTCGTCATCTCTCTCTGTAGGATCCAACCTCTTCTTAAGAGGAACTTGAGAGCCAGATAGTTTTCTGTTTGAATAACCCCGATCATCATCTGAATCGTTGTCTCTTGAGTCGATTCCATCAACTCTGTGGTGCCTCCTAGACACAGGAGAATGACGACTCCTCCCACTTCCACTAGGTCTTCCAGCTGCCAGCAGGAGCAAATCATCCAAATCAGCCATGTTCTGGTATGTTTAGAACTTGATAAAATATTATCCCCACTAGATCCAAACTGCAATCAAAAGTTGTGAGAGAAAACAAAAAAACATTAAATGTATATATCAATTGTATATGTGTATCCATTTGTTCAAGAATATTATTGCATGAGTCACGAGAGATAAGGCACAGCAACTGAGAATTTCTATTACCATTTTACATTAAACTCTTGTTAAAATATTTTTAAATGGGTTCTGAAAATATTAATTTCATCGTCTTGATGTCAAATCAATGCGTATAAATAGTAAGTGGAGATACCCACACAGAGATCCCCCCCTCTAAAGGATAAACCCGAAGTCTTTTGTCATCCATATCCCCATTTTTACCCAAAAATGGTGAAATGGTGTAACAATTGGAGTGACTGTAGTACGCTCTCCGTGGCCAAGAGTGTGGTGTGTGGCATTTATCACGTATCAATTTGAGAAAGTAACACATCAAAGTGGGATGCACATACAGAATGTTGTTCATTATCTGGCTTTTTATCTTTTCAATAATATGCAATTCTCGAATAAAGTGAACCATGCAACTCAAATAATTAACCAGGTGTGTATATCGTGAAAAAGGACAAAGTAGTAACGTAATATTTTTAAATAAGTGAAATGGATTCACCGGAATTTTGAAGTTCTTAATCATTTTGTAACTCTGAAACTGGTGAAGTCTGTGTGAATTCGGTTTTCAAACAATACAACCATCAACTTTTCCGAACCCACCATGAGCTCTACAGAACCATTCATTAGTTAAATAGGTACGTATGGACCACTATCCCTTCTAACATGAAGATCTATCTTATATATACTAATGCAGGATGCTGGCCATTTTTCCACTCAGAAAAAGCATTCGTGGATAAAAATAGACTCTCTAGGAACAAGGGCATATGGGGCTCTTGTGTTTCCATTCTCAACATGAAATTGTCAATTTTTTATAATCTGCTATAATCTTTAGCCCTAGCTTGTTTTCAATAATATGCACAGTTGGATTTGAATAGATTACTGCAAAGGGCCAACTATAGGCGTAATTCTACTTATTTTGTGGTTCCGAATAGAAAAATCAAAAGCTTTTTGAAATTTATCACCACGCAGAATACCAAGGGCGTGAAAACAGCTCGACCTCCTAAAACAAAGTTCGCTTTTTCACACCACCAATCCAGTATATCTCTGCCTACAACTCTCTTTTGGCCAAGTAACAAAGAAATATATATACAAATGTAATAGGCAGTATTGAAATTAATCCACCAACAGTTCACTTCGAAAACCCTAACCTTAAAAATATATAAAACCAAAAACCCAAAAAAAACAAGCAAACACTTGGCGGAAACATGAAAATGGGAATCGTAGAGTTGTGTTTCATACGAACATTTCAAAATACACAGAAGTAATGAAGGATCTGTGTAGCAGCGTTTCAGATGTGGAATTCTCGAACACAGTCTAAAAAAATCATCAATGACGAGAAGAAGAAACTGCGCTTCGTGTCCAGATAGCAGAAACAGTACATAATTAGAATTTAAAAATGATTTGAGAAAGAGCAGGGAAGAAAGAGCGGAGAAATACCTGAGTTGAGAGGTCGGTCGCCTGGAAGGAAGAACGATGAATCGGAAGGAGGGCCTGATCGGATCGATGGGGAGTGAAACTAGAAAAGGGGATTAAAGTTGGGGGGTACCAGTCCAAACATAGAATTATTTCTCTCTCCCGTTAGCCGGCCCAATACTAAATATGTTGAAATAGAGTTATTTTAGACATGTTTGGAAATAGTCTTAGAATAAGCGTTATCGATAAAATTTTAATGATGTATATTTCTTTAAAAAATTAATAACATTGTACGCTGCTTATAGGTAGTATTTTCAAAACACAAACGTTAATATCTAACGTTATTTCTAAACAGGCCTTTTGTTGCCCTTTCACAAACTTTTATACCAATTCTTCATCCGTCCAATAAAATTTTTCATGTTTTGCTTTTTAAAAAACTTAAGGAAAGTTTATATTGGTATTAACTTTCCAAAAATATATTTGGATGTGATGGATAGATTAATAGTGAATAGATGTGATGTAATATGTTGGTTTAGAATTAATAAGGATAAAAGTGACTTTCTGATAGAAAGAGAAAGGTTTTTTGAGAACGAACAAAAAAAGAAGAAAAGTTTGTGGGATGGAGGGAGTATAAACCATATAAGCATTTGATGCTTTCAAAAAACAATAAGTCCTTTGTTAACATTTCCATAAAAAATTTCTAGTTATATATCGTTTTACATATTTACTCCCTACATATCAAATATCAATAATTTAGTTTCCAATTATTATATTGTTTTTGACATATAGTCCTTTGTTAACATTTCCGTTAAGAACATGGATAAAATTGTAAATTCACATTCTTCTCTCTCTTCAATTAACATTCCTTCCTCCTCTCGTACTCATTCTCAAACTCGTCGCTCAGTTTGAAGCTCTAAACCCAAAACTGAAACGATCACTTCTCTCTCAAAGTGTTCATCTTCATGGTGGAACCCAAAATCGAAACCAATAACCTTCATGGATGAGTTTTATAAGCTAGTCTCAGAAATTGCAAAGAAAACAAACCTTAAAAGTTAAAACTCATTCATGAAGGCTATTAGTTTTGATTTTGGATTCCGCCAGGAAGACACACAATTGAGAGAAAAGTGATGATTTCGATTATGGATTCAAAGCTTCACACTCATCGACGGGATTGAGAAAGGATTGCGAGAGGAGGGAGAAAGCTTAACTGAGGAGAGAGAAGTATGAATTTACAATTTTATCAACATTTTTAACAAAAATATTAACAAATGATCATTCGTGAAAAACAATATAATAATTGGAAACTAAATTATTGATATTTGATATGTATGGACTAAATATGTAAAACGAACTATAACTGAGGACCTTTTATGAAATTAACTCTAAAAAATATGTGAACAAAATACATGTACATCTTAGGTCAATGGTACAACTCTTTATATATTTATCGCTTCAAAAATACCGAATAATTTTCTTTGTACTCAACTTAAAAATAACTTTGTTTAAATCTATTAGTTCAAAAGTACTCTTTATTCACATATTGTTTAGAAATGTTTTCAGAAGTGTATTAAACGTTTTCTTGGTATTTTTCAATTTAACACCTATAAGGGCCTGTTTGGGAAAAAACGTCAAAGATTAGCAATCAAATTAAATATCAACAAAATAATTATTATTATTACTATTATTATTATGATTATAAATTTTATTACTATTGTTATTACTATTATTAGTACTATTTTTATTAATATTAATAATATTATTATTGTTACTAATGTTATTATTACTATTATTATTATTATTATTATTGTTATTGTTATTATTATTATTATTACTATTATTATTATTACTATTTTACTACTACTACTACTAGTACCACTATTATTATCATTACTATTATTATTATCATTTATATTATTATTTCAATTATTATAACTATTATTATTACTATTACTATTATTATTATTATGACTAGAATTATTATTACTATTGTTATTATAATTATAAATTATTACTATTATTACTATTACTATTAATACTTTTATTATTATTACTATTATTATGATTACTATTAATATTTTTGTTTTTGTGGTTACTATTAATATTATTATTACTATTATTACTAATATTTCTGTTATAATTATTACTATTTCTATTATTATTTTTACAATTATTATTATTATTATAGTTATTATTGTTATTACTATTCTTATTTATATTTTTATTGATATTATTATTTCTTTTATTATTATTACTATTATTATTTCTATTCATCTTATCATTATAATTATTGTTATTATTCTTATTAATATTATTATTATTACTACTATTATTATTATTATTTGTATTATTATTATTATTATTGATATTTATTTTATTATTATTACTATTATCATAACTAGTATAATAATAATTTTAATTGAAATCAAACTTATACCAGATTAGATTCAATCAGATCCGATCAGATTCAAATCAGATTCGACTAGATCAGATCAGACGAGCGAAACGCTGCCAAATAAAAAATTGAGAAAGAAATTGAATTTGAGTTTTAAAAAAGTTTCTCCCACTTTTGAAGTAAAATGGGAGGAAGTTGAATTCCACTTCATTTCCTTCCAACCAATAAATCAAGTAGAAGTAGTTGAATTTACTCTCTACTTCCATCCTCTCTATTATACTACTTCTCTCCAATATAGTGAAATTATAGTATAGTTAATGGGCCTGTTTGGAATAGCGTTAGAGATTAGCGTTAGCGTTTTGGATAAAATTTTAATGGTGCAGACTACTTTAAAAACGTTAATGCTAAACGATGCTCGTAGATAGCCTATTCAAAAAGCTAACGCTAATCCTACTCCCAAACATGCTCTGTATATGTTTTATTTATATAAAAAAAGTGTTAGAAAATCTACTCTAAAAAAATTTACAAAATATCAATATTGTTCTTGAGTACTTGTTTAGTTTGATTTTTTAATCAAATAGATGCCAAGGAACAAATTCATTCGCCTAGTTTAATCTTTTAGTTGTAAGTCCATAATAGATTTTATACCCTAACATATCTCCCACGTAAACAAAAGTTTTTTTTGCTAGAACTTTGCACAAAAAAATTTGTTTTTTTATACTCGGAGATAATAAAATTTGATTTTGTGACCTATTGATCATCAAAGTTCTACTATCAAAGAAACTAATTTAACTAGAACTTTAGGTCCGGGTAAGTCCAGATTCGAATTGAGAATTACATGTTTATGACTTAGTGATGGATACCCTGGAATGGGGGTATTCGGCCCAACGAAATAGCGGCCCAATCCAGCCAAGCTTAAGCCCACCTAGCTGGGCGAAGATGAGAAGAAACTGAAGTCTCAAGAGGGCTGCTACTGGATCAGGATACACTCGGCCCCGGCAGACACCGCACGCTCGGCTTTCGGACCACCCTCGGTCGGCTTTCCGTCAGGGGACTTTAGGAAGCAAATCACATGTACTCGGCCTCGGCCTAAGATGCTATTGGTCGGGACCACAGGCATGGGAGTTGCCTAACCAGTCAAGTTAAGGGGCCAACGATTGGACCCTTGTCACACTTCCGTCAGAGTAGTTTTAGCCACCCTACTTGTAACCTATTTTGTATAGCCGCCCTAGGAATAATGATGCAGTTGGCTATGCCAGTGAACAACCAAATCTTAGTGGGCCCAATCCGTTGGGCTCCGAACCAACAGTTGGGAACCCCATTTGTAGTTTGTATATAAGTCCTTTCTTGAGAGAAAGGGGGAACGTTCTTTTGCACATTAATACTTACAATCTTACTTGATTCCCAACTTTTGCACTCTCGACTCAAGTCGATATTCTTCCGCCTAGTCTCCTAGGCCCCGGGTTCCTTAACCCAACACTCAGTGTTATTGGATTTGGGTCCACTACATGGTGTTTATGACCATTATTTATTTTCAAAATGTTAAGTACGAAGTAACTATTATGACCAAGTGTCACTATTACGATTAAAAAATTAAATATGACATTTTTTTTAAAATAAGATAATTATGCGATATCATGAAAAATTTTGAATGAAAATATAAATGTATAGATTACAAAAGAGTATTGAGAAAAGAAATATAATCATATATCTATAATATTATATTTCATATTAAAGTATTTACTCTTTTAAAATTGTTACTTTAGGAGATCGAATAAACATTCATCCCAGATCATTTTTGCAACTTAAATTGTTCGAATTTGTGATGGTAGGCCCATTCATATTTTGGGAAAATAGCATCGTTGCCCCCCGTGGTTTACAAAAAGGGCGTCAAAATCCCCTCTGTTTTCAAAAGTTATTTGTAAAGTTCCTATGGTTTCTAAATAGAGCATACATACTCCCCCTAACCTATTTTTAAAATAAAAATGTTAAAATTCCGGTGGGCCGAGAACAACGGATAGAGTGTCGGGTAAAATTAACCACTTGCATATAAAGTCGGGATCCACAATTCTAACCCAAAAGCTTAAGCTTATAGGTAGGGCTTCACCCTTCAATATATGCAAGTGATACTCATCTTTATTTTCCGATGTGGGAACTCCAACACTCCCCCGCAAGTGGTAACTAGCCTGGCCTAGTTAGCACTTGGACAAACGGGTCTAGCATCTCAATCTCTTATAGCTAGCCCACACAACGGGCAGTGGCATCTCAATCTCTTTTTAGCCAACTCAGCCCAAACCACAGACGGGGTAGCTCATTTTTGCTAAACCCACATCTAAACAACCAGGAACAATCAAACCCGGACCGGACCTGCTCCGATACCATGTTAAAATTCCTGCGAGCCGAGAACAACGGATAGAGTGTCGGGTAAAATTAACCACTTGCATATAAAGTCGGGATCCACAATTCTAACCCAAAAGCTTAAGCTTATAGGTAGGGCTTCACCCTTCAATATATGCAAGTGATACTCATCTTTATTTTCCGATGTGGGAACTCCAACAAAAAATGATATTTATGCTCTTTCTTTTCCTCGATCTTGAATTTTCCCTATTTTATTTTGTTCTATTATACAAATATATAAAATAAAATATACGCTTCACATCGCAAATTAAAATTTTCCATAATGTATTTTTGGAAAAAAGATTTTTTGGAGAATGTTACAAAAGAAAATGAAAAATAAAATATTATGTATAAAGTAAAAATAATAATTGAAAGAGGTAATGAAAGGAAAGAAAAATATGAAAACGGTCTTTTTCTTTAACTCCATATTTTATTTTATCTTTTTGTTCTTTATTTTTTAAAGTCCTTTGAAAATTATTTTACTTTTAAATAACAAATAAGTTAGAATTTTTAACTAGAGACAGAGTGAGTATATGTTATCTTAATTTTTATTTTATTTATTTTACTTTTACTTATAATGAAAAGGTGTATTTTATTTCATTTTATAATTTTTCATTTTCTTTTGTAATATTTTCTAATTTTTTTTATAAAATTAAATAAATGAAAAATTTTAATTTGAGAAAAGGGGCGTATATTTTATTTATTTATTTGTATAACAAAAAAATGCAAATAAAAGAGTGAAACTTGAAGGTAGAGAAAAATAAAGGGCAAAAATGTCATTTTATGTCTAAAAATAGGCAAGAGGGGACATCTATGCACTATTTAAAAAACCACAAGACTTTTACAAATAACTTTTGAAAGTAGAGGGAGTTTTGGTGTTTCTTTTGTAAACTACGGGGGTACCCATGCTATTACCCCAAAATCATTTTATGTCTAAAAATAGGCAAGATGGGGCGTCTGTGCACTATTTAAAAACCACAAAAATTTTACAAATAATTTTTGAAAGTAAAGAGTGTTTTGGAGCTCCTTTTGTAAACCACGAGGGGCACCCATGCTATTACCCCAAAAGAAATATAATCTTATATTTATAATATTATATTTCATATTAAAGTATATACTTTTTTAAAATTGTTACTTTAGGGGATGGGATCTCGAATGAAAAACATTCGTCTAGGATCATTTCTGAAACTAAAAATGTTTGAATTTGTGATTGTAGTAGGCCCATTTGTATTTTGGAGTAAAAACTAAAAAACGACACCTAAAAAAAAGGATTTTGCTACTTACACCCCAAATTATACCCCATTTTACACCCCATATATAAACCCACCCCCGCCCCACCCAATACCTCCCCCCTCTTTCCTTTCCTGCACCACCCACCACATACTCTTTCTCTCTATCTCTCTCTCGTTCACCAATCACCCTCCTTGCTTCTCTCTCTCTCTCTCTCTATCAATATTACCGATCAATTTTACCGCAATACCAGTCTTCTTCGATCGCCGCCCAAAACTTTGCACGGCGGGGGCTCCCCTTCTCTGCCCTAGAAGAATCACCACTGCGCCAGTCACCCCGATTGCCTACTTTGCCGTCCTCCTTCGTCTGCGCCGCCGCTACCACCGGTGCAACCACAAATTAAAGGTAATGATACACCCTTTTTTTTAATTTTAATTTTATGGGTTTTGTTTGTAAGGCAAAATTCAATCACTTAGACCTTTGTTATTGTTGTGATTTGTTTTTGTCAATCCTATTTTTAAAAAAATTTCATTTTTATGCCCGTGAATTGATTTGAGGTTATAGCTATTGTCAGCATTTGATTTTTGTTGAACATGTTTGTCAATGGCACTGAATGTCTGGGTGTTTTTGATGTCTTCTGTGCACTTACATTTAGTGCAATGTGAATGTTTGATTTCCAGGCCATACGGGCACATAAAACATGTGAGTATTTTGTATCTTCCATTTGTGTGTGTTGGAAACCACATTTGTGGTAACATATCTTCTGCCCACACTGACACTAAAATGCTTGTGTGACTTTGTTTCTCTGCTATACACTAGCACTATATGCCGCTGTTATACACAACCTGTCAATGAAGATTTTTTGCAGATTTTTTCATTTGTGTTCTCCTTAAATTATACAGAACCTGTTATATCATAAAACTGCAAAAAATCTTCATTGAAAAATAGGCTAAATATTTGTTCATGGAGACATGTATTTATTGGTGCATATAGTAAATTAAAAAAAATTAACAGGCGCCAAAATAATCAGAGTGTCATGGTAGACATTTTTTTTAAAATAATTAATTGGCTCTAAAATGACACTTCTATCTGTTCTGGACAACCATATTTGACAGGGTTGAAGATTTGCGTGTTAGACGAAGTGTTAAGATGATGGTGAAGCGCATGACATGAATGCCAAATGAGTGTTGGCGCAAGCTTCTTTTACATTTTGGGTTGATTTTTTTTGAAATTGAAGGTCTCTACTATGCTTTTGTTCTTGGATATGGATCAAGCTTCTCAATCCATACGGACACAAATGACTGTATTGTTGCTTTCATTCAAAACACCTACATTTAGTGCCAATTTTATGTATTTGCTGGGCTCACTAGCATAAGACTCTTGTGACTATCATTTTTTGTTGTGCACCTACACTATGTCTCATATTTAGCAGGTCGAGCTCATTTGAACCAGCAAGTTTTGTGCAAATGTGTACTCATTGAAAACATTGGTATATTAGAAAGTGTCACTTATCTTTTATGTGTTCTTCAAAAGCATATTTGATGGCCAAAAAATATTTCCTATTCGGGCCAATTTCACAAGCTTTTTGAGAGATGACGGTGAACCACATGACATCATTGAAGAAGGGGGTGCTGGAGCAAGCATGAAGACCATGCCTTGTATGTGTTCATGTAAGGAGAATTGTGCACGCGTGACTATGGGAAGATGAAGTTTACAACCTCACATGCGTTAATCTTGATCTTAGATTATGAATGTTTGTAGGATGACACTTCTCTGTCCATATTAGCACAAAATGACTGTGTTATTATTTTCATTCAATGCAAGATGTCGTGTCTTCGGTTTCAAATCTGCTTGCATACAAGCCTGACACATATTATTGGTGTATATCAAGAACTCAAACACATGCATCATGCACTAGTATGGCCAAGAAGAAAATCAAACATTAACACATAAATGGATAGTAAGGGGCTGTTTGTTTCAGCCTCTTAATGGTTCAGATGTCTGAATGATTCAGCACTTAATGGTTCAGACTGTTTGTTTCAGCCTCTTAATGGTTCAGATGTCTGAATGGTTAAGAGATTTGCCTCTGAATGGTTAAGTATTATACTGGTTAAGAGCTCTTATCTGAATTGATCAGACATTTACCTCTGAATAGTTAAACAATATACTAGCTCTTAATGGTTCAGACCTCTAACTGGTTCAGCACTTAATGGTTCAGACCTCTTACTGGTCAGCACTTACCCATTCAGAAGTTACCAAACAGCCCCTAAATGTAGATTCACAAAGAAATAAAAAATAACTAGTGTTCTATACTAGTGGGACTAATAGAGAGAAAATTAGCAGGCCTATGCGAGTATGGCCAACTACACACAAGCAATTTGTGTTAGTATGGGCAAAGAATTGAAATCATACAAATCAAATTAATACACATAATCTGAGATCTAGATTAACGCATATGAGGTCGTACACACTGTCTTCCACATTCTATTCCCGTGGTTGGGTGTTTTACCTTACAAGAACACCTTTGTCAGGGCAACTACTTTTCCGAATTGTGACACGGTTTCCCCGATTGTTCTTGGGCCCCTTTGTTGCCAAGTTTTATTTTTTCAAAGTGTAAACACTTCATCAGTGTAGAAGCTTGCCTAATATTCATGTGTAAAATGTTCATTGGTCCTAAAAAACAAGCAACAACCATTTAAGATGTTCACATGGGCAATCACAAAACATTGTAATACATTTAAATTTCATTTTCTTTTTCAATGCGATCAATGTATAAATAAAATTAAATGTAAGTAGGGAGAAAACAAAGTTAACTTAAAATACACATGGACACTAAATGTAAGTGTGCAGAAGAAAAATAGCATTACCCAGACATTATGTGAAATTGGCAAAAATAGAGCAATTACAGGTAACAATTAGGGAATCCTTGGCAGTTAGGGTAGTCATTTAATGTTATCAATGTACAAATAAAATTAAATATAAGTGGGTAAAAAACAAAATTTACAAAACATGTTCACATGGACACTAAGCGTTAGTGTGTAGAAGAAAAATAACATTGCCCCAACATTATGAGAAATTGACACAAATAGATCAATCACCTAGAAAAATTAGGGCATCCTTAGCAATTAGGACTTGGAGAAAATAAAATAAAATGAAAAAAACATTCACACTTTCAAATGGGCTGAAAATGTAAGTTTGTAGAAGGTAAACAATAACAACCTGACATTTTGTTGTGAACTTGGCTGAAATAATGAAATTGATGGGAAACGGATTAGCATTCACCTAGATGGCGGAGGGTCAATGGCAGGGAGGACGGCGGCGAGGGTAGAGGGGAGTGTGGCGACAAGAAAATCGAACTGAGGAGGAAGGTTCAAAAAGGAGGATGGGTTATCGGAATTCTTCGAGGTGTGAGCCGGCGATAAGAAATAGGTTGTCAGTCCGACGAAGAAGCCCACGATCTGTAAAAATTTTGGTGTAAACTACAGGGGAGGGAGAGAGAGAGAGAGTTGTAGATGCACATGGGGGGTGGTGGGGGGGGCATTGGTGTGGGGATGGGGTCTTTTATTGGGGTACAAAATGGGGTGTATGTAGCACGACCAAAAGATGACCGCAGGAACGTAAGCCCCGTTCAATTAGCCCATAGGGCCACGTGAATGACTGTAAAATCGGCCAAGGACCTTCCAGCCGGATAAACAAGGTCCGGCTCCACACATGTCTCAGCCCAGACCAATTCTGGTCTCGTTATCCGGCCCGCGAAGGGGACTCGCTTCCGAGCCTGCATCTCTGCAGAAATGGCCCGGGGACTTTCTTGGGTCGCGGCCCAATAACAAAGATTGAGCCTAACCCGCTCACGCCGTCCCGCGGTCGTGTTGTCCTAGGAACAACTAACATTGTTTATGAACACTACAATTGTTTTCACCAAATCCGGTGTGGGTTCTCTTTTCCCAAACCCATGCTCGGAACAGTACCCCGTCGCCACTGCCGTCCATTTTCCGGTCAAATTAGCCGGCGTCGTCCCAAATAGATCCCAGACCCCATCAGTTGATGAAGAAGAAGTAGCGAAAGAATTGGAAATGGCAAAGGACACCCCCACCCCCCACCCCATGTGTTTGATGAAATGTCTGAGGTCCCGTTTGGTACGTGGAATTCAAACTATGGAATTGGAATTGGGGACTTCAATTCCAATTCTGGTGTTTGGTAGCACAAAAATTATGTGGATTTAGAATTGATAGTGCAAAAAATGAATTGGAATTGGCAGAATTCAATTCTATGGAATTTCAATTCCATTTCAATTCCAATTCCACCAATTCTGTATGCCAAACGGACCCTGAGTCAAAACCAATGAGATCCAGATGCATCATTCTTCAAGAACAACAGGGGTGTGTGTGTCAGGGAATGAAGTTGTTTAAGGTTGATAGTGATTAATCAGATGAAGTGTTCATTTTGGAAGAAGATTTGCAGACCAGTACAGCTAATTCAAGTTTTTCATAGATAAAATCTTTTAAGTTGAGATAAATAAATTGGTTGTTTATAAAATCTTTTAAGTTGAGATAAATAAATTGGTTGTTTACTATTCACTTAGTCAAATTTCATTCACATTTTTTTTCTATTTTCATTAGTCATTTGATAAAAAAAATATTTATGTCACCACTAGTCTCTAAATCTTTTGATATGTTGTTTGGTAGCTGCATGAATGTAACAGTATTATCTTATCGATCATATACTTAATGGTTCTTAGTGGATGGAGAATTAATTAAAAACAAATTATGACACTTGACAACCAATTGTGAAAATTTTTCCTCATATTTAGAGTCCGTTCTTTAGAACTTAAACACTTAACTTTTAGTTTCTTCTAACTTCTCTCGGTTTCTTTCAGTTCCTACCAGATTCTTTTAATTTTTTCAACTATTCTCATTTTCTTCAAAGTGTTTCTACACCTCAAATAGTTACCCTAAAAACGATGTATTTTTTAATGTGATTATTATTATTATTATCATCATCATCATAACAATAATACTCCGTAATAATTAGCATTATCTTTATTATTATTATTACACCTATTATATTCAAAAGTATAATTTATAAACTATTTCATATTTTATCTTTTCTATGTCACTATTTTTATGATTCACACTCTTCTAAATTGATACTCCGTATGAGAAAAATATTTTTCAAATTTTTATAAAAAGTTTTGAAAGACAAAATATTTTAGAGAAAAATACTGTATTACGAGTAAAACATTCTTTCAATTTCTTCCAACATTCAGCTCTTCTTTTCCAGACCTAAAGAACAGATACTAGATATGATATAAATGTTTTATTTTATCAAATGAGTAACAAAATAAATAAAATGTATAAAATTTGACTCTGTAAATAATGTATGTAAAGATTGGGATTTGGAACGGAGGGAATACCAATTATTTAATAATTTAAAATAAAAATAAATAAACGAAATAAATCTTAAGCGACTAAAAACAAAGTTTACAAATTTCAAAAAGATCAAAAGATAATACTTAAATAGGGGGGGACTATTTGAAAAAATAATAATTTTACAAGAATGATTTGATTTTAAAAAAAAAAAATTAGACAAACCAAAAACAAAACTCACTAATTTTACACAAACCAAAACATATTTAACCCTAAGAAAAATGTAACCATCTGTAAATATATTGCTGTAAATGGATATCAGTTCTGTACAATTAGAAAATGTGCCAATTCTGTCAATTTAAACCTGTACAATTTAGGAGCACTTGAACTAGCTTAATTAATGGACCAACTTTGAGCATCAGACACTTAACAAGAAAACAAAGAGACATCCTCAGCAAAGAAGTCCATGATTGCATTTCATTATATGTGTCTGGTTCTACAAGTGTTAGAGTAACAGAGAGATTCTGTTGTCTGTATACAAGAGAAATTAGATGAACAAGAAGAAGAAAGAGCATAATTACTAGGGAAGACAGAATATACAGACACCAGTATACTGTAAAAAAAAAAAGATGAAAAAAAATGAAATCCCAAATTGTGATCTTTAGTCCTTGTTCATGGAACCCTACATGACTCTATTACTTCAAGCACTGTAGAGTGAGTCTCCGGCGATATCATGTTCAGTGACAAATGGAAATCCTGGATTTTCAGCAAATTACATCAGAGATGAAGTCTATGTACGGACACAGGGATGGGGTGCGGAAAGATAACAATAATAATAATAATAATAATAATAATAACAACAATAATAAAGTTCACATACCACGAATCTCTCCAGCACGGGGACGAGGATACCCAAACTCCTGTCTGGAAGACACTTGGTGATTGCGTTGCGTGTGCTTTGACTGCCACAAACAGTGACATTGAGAATGAAAAAAAGTATACGCGCAGATGAAAAGTTCACTTCCCATGAAAAACGAGAAATGGGTTTCGGATCAAATGGCTAAGACGAAGCAAAAATCCTGGAAATATTGCAAAAATCGCACCGGCATTGTTTTGTGTGTGTGTGTGTGTGGGTGGGTTTGTGTGTGACAATCCAAATTCTACCCCTCACCTTTCTGTTGAAAGGAAAGCAATGAGGAGAGCTGCATAAGCTTCTACAATCATTTTCTCAGCTTCTTTCTGTCCCTTTAATAGGGCGTCCTCGTCTTCCTGCATTGTGGGACAACATAACCATTTTTAGCCGAGGGTAATAAAATATAGTGCCGTGTATGGATTAGTTAGGACAGAGTGAAATCCACACTCACCAATGTCAAAGTCCCTTCTCCAGCGGCTTCACCTGCTCCTTGGTTAGCCAAAAAGATGGAGCACAGTAACGGGATTACATCTGTACAGCTCCCCTCTAAACCTTCAATCCCAGGCAAGGAAACACTTGCCCTTGCAAGCCTTGATCTGGAAGCCCAAAAAAGTTTTACATTAGGCATTGTGATTTTAGTAGTATAATTATTATTTGGAGGGTGGGGGGGTAAGGTCTGTGTGTAAACACCCTCCAAGACCCTACTTTTAGTGAGACACTAATGGGTTTGTTGTTTCGGGAGAAGGTGGGGGATAAGGGGATTTAAGGACTTGTAAATGGGATGTAGCTGAAAATAAAGGGATTGTCATTTGATTGCCTGAAAATAAGTTGTCTGTGTGTGTGTGTGATTTATTACAAAAAAAAGCAAAGAATCAACAAAAGTTCAGAAAACACTTCTCTAGAAAGAACTAGTATCATCAACATAAAGTCATGCTTTAAAATTCATAAGCATATACCACATGCTAATGACAGGAAGAAGTAATCTGGTTGCAGGCTTTCAACAGTTTGACATAGTACAAGAAAATATATACCTGTTGTGTCCATCTTTCTCTACCAAATTCACAAGCAAACCCAAAATAGCAACAAGAAAATCTAGCTCTTGGTCACTGAGAAGACTGTCGATTTGATGGCCAGGCTTGGTGTCTGGTTTAGAAGGTAAAACATGCTCCAAGCTAGAGCTGAAAGAGGGAAAATGGCCGGCGATCAAACAAGCCAGTGTTTCTAGACCTCCACATGCAGCAATTTGTTGGCAACCGATGGAGTTGTCATTGGTTAAGTTCATTAAAACCTGCACAAAATTCAATGTCACTCTAAAACCCACAAATAGTGCATAAAATTCCTTATTGTTCCTTTCTACCATGGACAATGAAATATGAATCTCCCTTTGATTATGTGGCAACAGACAACTAAAATATTGGTTGGAAAAGGTTCACAACACCCCTCCAAACTACTGAGCTAAAGAGAACTTCATCCAGCATCAAAATATTGCCCCCAACACAACTTGATCTCACAGACATTTATGCATGAGATAGGGGCACACACATGTATGTGTGTGTTAGTGAGAATTAAAAGTTGAGATGGGAGCAAACTTGACAGTAAGAGTATCTTCTTTCTATTGCTAAACTTAAATAAGGATAAAAGAGTCATTTTTAAATCTTATTAATGTGTAAATTTTTCTAAAACGGCAATCATTTTGGGATGGAAGGAGCACATTTAAAGAAAACAAACAATTTACCTTAACAGCTGTGAGCAGGCAGTCTGCCAGAAGGTTGGACATTTCTTCACCAACAGCAGATGAACATGAAGGAGAAGCCTCACAAGAGCTACTTTTATTGTGGTTATGACTACTAGACTCTTGCTGGCTCAGCATGGGGGAAGACTGAGTCATATCTTTATGTCTATGAGCTTTACCCCTGCCACTTTTAGGCTGAGACACTTTTTGCTTTCCAGACAGCAAGTCCCATTTAGAAGGTCCAAAATCTTCATCATCAAAAGCAAAAGGATCTTGGGTATCATCCACAAGTCCAAACACCTTGCTTTCATTGCTTACATTCCTAATTTTATCAAAATTATTTACATTTGAGGTGTTATTTTTTGTCCCTGCATTATTATGCCCAGAGCTTCCACTGCATGATCCGAATGTGGAAGAGTCAATTCTTGTCTTCGACCACCAAGAATCGGTGATGGCAGTGGTTGTACCTTCTAAAGTAGAATTAGAAGAACCTAATTGGTCAGTTTGAGATTCAGTAAAACACTTTGAGGAAGATGCTCCTTCACTTGTGCTGAGAGATGAGATGATAGAAAAAATATCCTTGCTGTCTCCTGCATTTTCAGAAAGAAAAAAACCGTACAAAAATGTTCAGGTGAATGAATTATTTGCATATTAACGAATACAAATTAATACATCATTTATCCAGTAGCTTCGTAATTTAGCCTGAATTCTTTACCTATTGAATGCGACACAGAGAGTCTGGAGATCTTATTGTCCTGAAAGTTTTCTGAAGAACGTCTATGCAAGTAAACACCTTGATAACAAATCAAACATTTAAAAAATATGTAGAAAAAGAGAAGAAAGAAGATTGCTGTGAAC